TAGCTAAAACTATAAAATCCTTAAAAGAAAACACATGAGCTGGGGTTGTGGCTCAGCGGTAGAGCACTCGCCTAGCACGTGCAAGGCGATGAGTTCAATCCTCAGCACAACCTAAAAATAAATAAATAAAATAAAGGTATTGTGTCCAACTACAACTAAAAAATATTTTTTTTAAGAAAGAAAACACATGTGAAAAGTTTCATGACATTGAGTTTGGCGATAATACGTCATATATGGGACCAAACTCACAGGTAACAAAGGAAAAAAATTGGACCACATCAAAATGTGAAACTTTCATACATCAAAAGATTCTATGAAAAGAGTAAAAAGACAGTCCAAATAATGAGAAAAAAAAATAGTTGTCATCATATACTTGACAAGGTAATAGCAAGATATATAAAGAACTTCTACAACGCAACAACAGAAGAGCAACCTGATTCTAAATGGGCAAATATTTGMATACATAGTCATATGTCCAAAGAACAYATATGAGTAGCCAATAAGCACAGGATAAGATATTCAACATAACTTATTATTAGACACATGTAAACAAAACCCATGGGATCCTACTTTAGACTCATYAGGACAGCTATTATTAAAAAATTAAAAATAAATCAGAAAATAACAAGGGTTGACAAGGGTGTGTATAAAATGGATCCCTGTGTATTTATGRTGGAATATAAAATAAATTGTGTAGCCTCTGTGGAAAACAGTGAAGAAGTTTGTTAAAAAAATTAAAAGTAGAATTTTCATATGATCTGACAATTTTACTCTGAGTATGTATTCTATTGCATATATATAACATATATATATATACACAATATACACACATACATACATACATATAGAGTATTAGAGAGAGACTGATTTTAGGAATTCACTTGTGAAATTCTGGGGTAGGCCAGCAGCCCAGAGGTCCAGGACAGAGTTGATGTTGTATTCCTAAGTCCAAAGGCAGTCTGGAGGAAGAAGAATCTCTTCTTCAATGGAGCCATTCTTTTTCTTTTGATACCTTCAATTGATTGAATAAGTCTCACTCACATTATGGAGAGCATATTCCATACATTTGGAGTCCACTGATCTAAATCTTAATATCATCTAAAAATATAACTTCACAGAAGCACTTAGCATAATGTTTGGCCAAGTATGTGCATGCTGTGCCCTAGTCAAGTTGACACAGAAAATTAACCATCACAGGTGCAAACCACCCAAATCCATTCAGCAATGGATAAATAGAAAAACAAAAGGTGATAAGTATATGCAAAGGAATATTAATCAGCCCTAAAAGAAAAAAAAGTGTGTCACATTAGATTGGATAGAGAGAAAGGATGGGAGAGGAGGGAAGGAGTAGGGAGGATAGGAAGGGCAGCAGAATAGAATAGACAATATGATTGATGTATGTACATTCCATGTATGTATTATATGTCAAAATACATCCTGCTGTCATGTATGACTAAAAAAAAATAAAAATAAATCGTATGGTTATTAAATAAAGAAAGAAAAAATCTGGCACATACTACTTAATGAATAAACCCTGAAGACATTATGCTAAATGTATTAAGTCAGAAAAAAAGGACAAATCTATTGTATGATTCCACAAATATGAGGTAGTCAAATGGATGGACAAAAAAGTAGAATGGAGGTTACCAGAAGATGACAGAGTAGGAGATATAGGGAATTACTGTTAATGGGTGTGGTCTYTCCAGTTTGAGAAGAAAAAAAAAGTTCAGGAGATGGATGGTGGCGATGATTGCACAAGAATGTGCAAAATGCCATTCACCTGTCCTCTTAAAAATGGATAAAATAGTAAATTTCATGTTATCTATGTATATTTTAGCATAATAAAAAATGAATTGCTTACATGTATAGACTTTACTATGAGCCAGACACAATGTCAAATGCTTTACATGGACTTTCTTACGTAATGTCTTTTTGGTATTTACATTTTACAGATAATGAAGCCTTCTAGAGAAAGGACTTGCTCAAGGTCACTCTGGTAAGACTATGTGCTTGGTTATACCCCATGCTATGATGAAAAGGGTAACTACATTAAGAAAATGAGATAACCAGCAAGTCAAAATATTTTTTTAAATAATACATTTGAATCAATATATAAGTAATTTAAGGAGTGAATTCCCAAAATGATGTCAAATCTAGATTATGACTAATAACTCCACACTTAATATAGCCCTACATTGACCTTCATCATGAGAAATTCTTATCCCCAAACCACAGCATCTCAAGAAATAAGATGAGAAACGAGGGTGCCCAAGATAGAAGCACAATATCATATCTGCCCCATTTTCTACAAGTCTTAGGATACTTCATAGTTTCTCTGTTTTTTTTTTTTAAATAAATTACTGTGGCCGCACTTCCTTTTTCAAATGAGGATAACCATTTAACTGATACTTATTTTATTAAGTATCTACCATAATTCCAGGTACTTTTGTGGGTTCTCTTCTAACAAGATGAAAAGACAATGCACACGTTTGCAGTGAGATCCATCTAATAAAAAAATTAAATGTCTCTTAAGTGAAATGTCTGTTGCCTCAAATGGAACATACCTCAAAGATGAATCTCCTTTCGATATTCTAAGCTTCTTCAGGTAGTTGTCAGCTAGATCCCTCCAAATGTGTCCCTGCCTCCAGTGATCTTCCTTCCATGAACTTCTTGACAATCACCACCAAAAACAAGAGCAGTCATAGCTGCTCATACACCTAAGGCAGTATAGTCTAATGGTTAAGGCTTGGACTCTGATGCTACACTGAATCTATACTTGCCATTGTTCACTGTATAAACTTGGGTAAGTATCTTAATCTGCCTGTGATTATGTCTCCTCAAATAGGCACAAACCCTCACAGGGTTGTTGTGAGGATGCYATGAGCTCAGAACAATGTCTACCATGTATTAAGGGGTCAGAAAATATTAGTCATAGACAGATCAAATAGCCACTCATAAGCAACAGACTATTCCAGGGGTGGGGGGAGAAGAAGAGATGGTCATCCAAGAGAAAAGGGACCTTAGTGAACATTTCATGGATGGTGGCACAAAGAACCATATGGCTTAATGTCTTGCCTGAGGTCAGGCAGGTGGTCAGCAGCAGCACCAGGACATATCTTCCTGACACCGCCCATGCCTTCAAGGAAGAAAAGACAAGAGCACTCCAAACCTACCATTTAGGTGTACATTATAAGTCTTATCTATTTCAGTAACTATAAATTATAAAGTTATAGGTATGAATGTGAATACTTATAATGATTCCATCAGCAAGATGGGCAAGAGCAAGAATTTAGGGAGTGGCCTGTTAAAAAGCAGCCTGAGTAATGGCCCAGAGCACCATACCCCCTTAAGCAGGGCTTAAGGCAGCCACCAGAGAATAAGTCCAAAATATGGGGCCTGACTCACTTCCCAGCCCTGCTGCCCATAATGCAGGTCCTAAACAGAGGTCACAGAAGCCACGCAGTAGATAAGGAGGGAATGCTGGGCAAACAGTAGAGACTGGACCTCAGAGAGAAGTTGTTCAGAAATACCTATAACTGGCTTCTTATGGAAGCCATCCTTCCATAAGATAGGTTTTTATTCCCCACACTCCCAGATCCTTCTAGATCTAAAACGCTTAATCAATTCTATCCCACTCCTCAATCAAGACCTCCCTTTACAGCCTCACCCAGTACCTGGCTTGCAAGTGGTGGGCACTAGGTAAATACTAATTTCTAATGCAGAGGTCAGAAATGGCAGTTGGGGAAACTGGAAAGGAAGGCAATGAAGAATGAGCACACTAGCAAATCCTTGCCAAGTGCCAGTCTAATCTACGTGTCAACATAAGTTAACTCACTCAGTACTCTAGACAACACCCTGCCATAGGTGTTATTATTTCCATATTACAGAAAGAAACTGAGGCATAGATGGGCTGAATAATTTGTCCAAGATCACATTATGGAATTGTGAATTAACCAGACCAGTTTCCTCTGCAACAATGTATCTTCTTCTAACCCCAGTATCTGAACACCACTTCAACTGTTAAACCCTCTGGTAAATGTTACTTTTCTGAATAAAAACACTCTGTAACTTAAAAAAAAATTACACCAAATTCTCATCTACTTCTATCTGAGCTGGAAATCAAAGTCAGTTCTGGCTGGAACACCCATGAGAGTAAACAGCATGTGACAAAAGTCTCAAATTCAAAACATTTCCGCAAACAGAGAAAAATTCAAGAGGTTTCAGATGGAATGGGCTCACCTAGCTCAACATTTTCCATCACACAATATCTAAATCCTAAAATTAAGCCAGAACTATCTGTAAGTATGCACCTATAATAATCATTCTGAATATTTTAAGATAGAATTAGAGGTTGATCATACAATTATAAGGTTATAGACACCACACAAAGTCACTTGTCACATATTTGGGTTTTGTTTGTTTTTAACAATCATAAAGGAATCTGGGTGTTGCAACATGGGTAGATGATCATAGAAAAGACAGATTTGAATTACAACTACATTTAAATTTCAATGAAAGATTCAGCAATTGCCTATATGATTCAGGTTCTAAACAATATTACATACATTAATGGAAACAAAAGCTACATTAATTCCAAATGAGCCAGATAATTTTCTTAATCTTCCATCAAAACAGGGAGTGTAGGATAGATTTTAAAATTTCGTCTTTACCAATGTACACAGAAATAAAATAGAAAAATTARTATATCAGTACATTCAAAAACTTTGGAAAGGCTTACAACAAAATGCCTAATATTTGCTCCCAGGAAATTTTTATAATAGCATACCCCAAAAATCACAAAGAGCAAAGCAAAAAAACTTTAATGTTTGCAAAAACAAAAAAAGAAGAAGAAGAGAAGTAAGGTGAACGACTGTGCAGTTTGTGCCAGCAAGCGATATTTTTCTCTCCTTAATGAAGAGAGGGCTGGTGAAAACAGCATAAAGACAGGACAGAGATCACAGAAGGAGAAATACGATAACCAGCACATATTCAAAACTTACCCAGCTTGGTCTGTTTACTCAACACTTATTTTTTCCACTTTGCCAGTTTAAAATCAGATAGCGGCTGGGCTTTTGATGTTGCTGTTTCTGTTCTTTTGATCCCAGAGCCCCATGAAAATTAAACTATGTGTTGGATGGGATCTGGCCTGGTCTCGCATTAGGGGGGAGAAAAAGTTGTAAGCTCAGGGCCCTGGCTGCTTCTTAAGGGAAATGAATAAATAATAAGTGGCTAGCAGGAGAGGACGTGGGGGACGTGCCTAGCTGACGTCCGGCCCGCACTGGGGCTGCACAGCCTCTCAGCACAGCTGTACAGATGTGCTTCATCTGGTTCCCAGAAGGGGCACCAGCCTGGGCTGCCGCGGCTGGCAAAGCCTGCGCTCATTGGTGGCCGCGGCTCCTCACTTGCCGCCGATTGGCGGAGAGGCCCGCCATTCCCGCTGGCCTGGGGCCGCCCCAGCCCGCCGCCCCAGCTCGCGGCATCCTTCAGAGGAACCTGGAAATGCCTCGCGGTCGCTGATGTGGCACTCGGCGGCAGCAGCGGCGGCAGCATTGGCGACTCGGGAGGGGCCGAGACAAGGTCGCTAGACACCCAGAGCTTGCCCCTGCCCTAACCCCTCTCATACTCATCCTTTCAGGCAGTTAGGCTGGTTTGTTTAAACTCTGGGTTTGGAAGATGAAAAAGGTCCCCGGCGCTGGCCAAGGCCCCGGTTACTGGACGCGGATCCGGACTGCCCCAAACTCTACGAGGCTCTGAGGCCACGCCTCGGGGCTTCACTCTCCCTACTTTCTCTAAACAGCGAATGGGAGGGTTTGAGAAGTTCCTCTTTGAGGATAGTATTCTTTTGATGAGGATCAAGGAATCCTTCATTGAAATGCTTATTAAATAGAAGTTTGGTTGTTTCTTTAGTGAAGCCCAGGAGTGGGTGCAGGAGTGGTTTAAGAGATTTGGTTGGGTTTCTTTTCTTTTTTCTTTTCTTTTCTTTTCTTTCCTTTCCTTTCCTTTCCTTTCCTTTCCTTTCCTTTCCTTTCCTTTCCTTTCCTTTCCTTTCCTTTCCTTTCCTTTCCTTTTCTTTTCTTTYYYTYTCTCTCTCTCTCTCTCTCTCTCTCTCTCTCTCTCTCTCTCTCTCTYTCTTTTGTTGAGTTATAGTAAATGAGGGAAAATGAGAAATCTTGCTTTGTTCAGTGACAGTTTTGAAAGGACTACACCAGAGAATGAATGCTTCAATTTTAGGGAAATGGTTGAAGGAATACTGGGGGTAAGGGGAGAGAAGATAATGGCAAATCCCTTTCCTTAGTAGTTTGTGGAAGTTAACAGAAAGTGACCTCATTGATGTAGTAAAGCAAGAGCCACCTCGCTGGGCTACACACTTTTGTTTTGTAGGTGCTGGGTGTGTTAAATAACTTTTACTTGCATGCCCTATTTAATTCTTACATCCCTCTTATTAAGTAAATATTATCTTCTCATTTTCGGATGAAGAAATCAAAACCCAGAGCCTATACCAGCATGCCTCAGATGTCTCCAAGATGTTTACATTACTTTGCTCTGGGAACATAATAAACTCATCTGCCACTTGTCATCAGGGTGGGGTTCAGAATTTGTTGACAACATCTCCACCTTCTGATGTCGAAAACTTTCACTACAAAGATAATGTCTTGTTGGTGGTGTATTAATCATCTATTGCTATATAAGAGATCACCACAAACAGTACTTTGAAACACACACACACATATATACATAATATACATAATATATATATTATTATATGTATATTATATATATATATATATATATATATATTATTGCACAGTTTCTAAAGGTCAGAAGTCCAGGCATGGCTTAACTGGATCCTCTGTTCAGGGTCTCACAAAGCTGTAATCAAAGTGTCAGCTGAAAGGAAGTCTCATCTGCAGGATTTTCTGGGGAAGAATCTGCTTCTAAGTTCAATCTGGTTGTGGACAAATTTATTTCTTTACAGATATAGGGCTAAATACCTACCTTCTTTCTGGATGTCAGCTGCCCTGGTTCCCAGAGTCTGCTCTCAGGCTCTTCCCAAAAACCAGGAGTTAGAGATCTTGGGAAGGCCACCTTAAGTCTTCCATGATTAAGTACTCAGACACTTCAGCTTCAATGAAACTGATTAAAATGTTATCATAACTCTACAAGCTACCACACCACCACCTCCTCAAAATCGGAGGGTGGGTGGGCTCAAACTGTGGAAGTGGATTCCAAGCATTTAATTCCTGTGACAATCAGGCAAACCCACAAAGGACCAGCCTTTGACCAAAGTCCTTCCTTAGAAGTAATTTCTGTCCTATGCTCAGCTTTGTGAATCATTTATTATCTGACAATGGTGCACCTTTTTATCATAGAAGCTACTCAACAATAGCCTGATAGTCCAGTTATTGATCAAGCTTCCATACTTATTATCATCAATAGGCATCTGATATTATTGAGTATTAGAATATCCCCCCTCAAATATCTGCTAGATACAGATTCATTCAGCTTGCAGGAAGATGAGTAAATATAGTTACTCCATTTCTCCTGTTATGCACAACTAAAAATCTTGGAGATACAYACACACACACACACACACACACACACACACACACACACACCAATGTAAGAAGACTCTGAGAAGTTGTGGAAGAAGGTAGACCAGTTGGAAAACTTTGAATCCAAGAAACAGCATAATGACAAGTTCTTGGATTTATTTATATTTCATCATCCCAAACTTGAATGTAAAGATGCCAGCACTGTAGTTTTGTTTTGAAATGGACCCCAAAGTCCCATTGATGTTGATGGTTTGGTCCCCAGCCTCTTGCACTAATGAGATGTGGTGGAACCTTTAAGAGGTGGTACCTAGTGGAAGGAAGTTAGGTAATTAGGAGTATGGGCTTAAAAGAGATATTGGGAGAATCACAACCTCTGAGGCAGAAGTCCCCTGTATTTCTCCTTTATTAGCAAAGCAAAATCTTTTTATACTTTTTTCTCAAAATTGTGTCCTTGTTATTGGATTGGCATCAGGGACAAGGACCAAGTTTTTAATATCAAATTTGTAACTAAGATGATATCTGAGAGCAGTCCCAGCTCTGGTTTTCTTGGGCAAGTCTGACATGCCAGACCATCCCACTTCAATGCTGAGGATGCAAATGGCTGGCAAACTTGTGAGAGCCAACTGCTGGAGAATTAGGAGATGGGTGAGTTTACCTTGTGTCAAACTGGAAGAGCTATTCCTGTGAGTAAAGGGAGGAGCCAAGAAACTTTCCCAGCAGATGTTGAAGCTCTTTTTGCTCTGGGGAATTCCCACCTTCTCTCTTGAAAAGGTACCAGCTGCTTCATCCTGGTTCACTTTGAGAAGAAGGAAACTGACTGCTATAAAGTTGCAACACCCTTGCCGTCTGGTAAGTTCTCTGTTGTGCACACCAAAACCCTTTATTCCACATATCTGGTTCTTCTTTGTGGGAGCATCTGGTCCTTTTTTGTGGGGACATCTGTGCTGCTACACAGAGGTATGGTTAAGCAGGATTTGACAACCTAGGGATTTTTACTCCCTTATAGTCTGTTCTAGCTTCCTATTTGTTGGCCTTCAGTTCAGGAATTTCCTCTGGTTGTCTTGTCTCTGCTTCTTTTTTGTTTCTGTAATTGGCCCTATAAGACATGGGCAATGCTGTGTTAGGCTCTTAGAAAAGATCTTGGCTTAAAGGGCTTCCTATAAACAGGGTTATATAGATATAACCCTGTCTAAAGAAAGATGATGTTTTACTATAATGATCTGGCCTTTGTATGGCCTTCTGAATTATTATACAATCTTGCAGTTGGAGTTGGTCTGTCGAGGTAAAGTGGAAGAAATTCTGTATGTGCAGGTCTGCCTGTTGAAAGGTTTCCATCTGTCAGCCACGGTTTTGTGGATCTTCTCTGGTTATCTATCTCTTGTTTGTATTTCTTAMTGACCATTTAAGATGTGAGGCATGCTGCATTGATCCTGTAGGTAGTCCCTTGGGAAAGATCTTGGCAGAATAGGCCACCTATAAGTATAAGCCTAAGAAAAAGATGTTTTACTGTAACACAATCTGGTCTTTGCAGTTAGAGTTGGTCTGTCAGAAGTAAAGTATATGGAAGAGATTCTGTATGTACAGGCATTTATGCAAATGCATGATAAGAGTCTGAACAGTCAGAAACTAAGTTGAGGATTCAAAAAGGCACTGTCTTTGGTATGCAAGGATAGCAGAATAGAAGAAAGGGTTTTTAAAAAGTTTAAATACTTTCAACCCAGTGTTGGCAGTCCCAACACTGTTTCTCATCCTGGCCTCAAGCAGCTGCAGATCATCTCACTGTGGGTCAGAAACACTAGCCCTGGCCTGGGTAAAGAAAATCCCAGGAAAATTGTCTAGGCTATAGAAAAATGGACAAAGAGGACCTAGCCTCTCTTCTTCCCTCCAGCCCCTTTTACTCATGGAGGTGGAGGCTTCTGGCCACAAAAGTGTGGAAGTAGATTCCAGAACTGTTAGTTCATCACCTGGTGACAAGAATGGTCTCACCTTTTAAGATCTGACAGAATATCCTATTTGACTAGGAGATATCCATTACTGGTACACATAAATTCTTTCTATTCCATCAAACCAAATACATGGAGATACTGACAGGATAACCAACAGCACCCAAAAATGGAGAAACCAGAAACTAAAGCCAATCTGTGTTTTTTGGCAAACTCTGCAAAAGGATCTTCAAGAATACCTAAAGCAAAGGATGGATAGCCGCCCCCCCCAATTGAATATCAATGCCCAGTGTAAGGAAATACCCCAAAGGAGACTCTGGATAAAATTGACATTGGGGAACTCACTTAAAGTTGATAGTATTATGATAATGATAAAGAAGATAGATTAGGCTAAAAAATATTCTGTGCTCCAAATCCTTGAATGGAACCTGGGAGAAAAAAAGATTAAAGCACAGTTTTTGTATATGCCTGATTGCCTGGGATAAAATTTGTTGGGTAAATTAAATGCACAGATAACATTCAAGGATTGTTTCAGAATATGAATCTAAAAAAGAGTTTAGCCAGGTGCCGTGGTACATGTCTATAATCCCAGTGGCTCTGGAGGCTAAGGCAGCAGGATCACAAGTTCAAAGCCAGCCTCAGCAACAGTGAGGCACTTAGCAACTCAGTGAGACCCTGTCTCTAAATAAAATACAAAATAGGACTGGAGATGTGGCTCCGTGGTTGAGTGCCTCTGAGTTCAATCCCTGGTCCCCCTCCACACACACACACTCACACACACA